TGGCGCGGGTGAAAATGTTGCAAACAATGCCAGACTCTTTGATTCACAGGTAGGCTGCCCTTTCCAGAAAAACGATTCAGAGCTTGAGTCTCGGATTTTTTTGGTGCAAACCACAGAGCATTATATAATTATTTTGTAACAGAAATTGAAAACAACTCTGATCAAAGTCAGTTAGGCTGACATCATGATTTCTATGTCACTAGCTACCGCTGTTTATACATTAGTTCTGTATAATGTAAAAATTTCTTAGTTATCTTGTGGTAGAAGACTGTCCAGGAAAAATTTCAACTCGTCTTTACCTCGGATAGGACGTAAAACCGTAGGCCCCGTCTCCTGCAGGGTAGGGGTAGGAGAAGTTAATTTCCCACGCACGAGATTACTGTGTGGTGGATGTCCTCCCCTGGGGTGGGATGGGTGGAAGAGACACTAATTGTAAAGCGCCTTTGATCATATAAATGTTAAAGGGCGCTATAGAAGAAGTAAATAAATAAAATAAAATAAAATAAAAATACCTCTAAGGTTTCCAAAGTCGCCCGGATTTGCAGTCAGATCACCGTCTTTTCAGGACTACCATCACCTGGACTACCAAGTTGCATGTTTCATTTTCACAGTGACATAGTTAACTGAAAAAGACTACCACACTTTTCCCTAATGTTAAAGGAAAAAGACGAAAGTTAAGCTAAGGTATCTTTCTGCAATGAAAATCCATCAAGGATGTTGATTATTACTGAAACAAATATGTCATAATTTGAACGTGGAACATATACTCTCATTTGACGTACAGTTAAATACGAAAAAATTTTATATATTTTTCGCATCTTTATTTTTGAAATAATAAACCAATCACACTCCTTGACGAAAGTTCTGAATTCTTCAATAATTTCAAAAGGGTTCATAACGTTTTATATGATTGATGGTCAGATCAGTGTGATATTTTTTTGTGTCATACACTTCTACATGATGTAGTCCTAAAAACCCTTAATCGTCTTTAAGGCATGAATTTCGGAACCACTGTTAAAAAAAACCTAGCAGTAATTGTAAACAGTTAATCTCTGCAATATTAGGCAAACCTTAAAGCCACCTGAAGAGCAATGGAGAAATTAGATTTATTCTCTATTAAAATTTCCTTCATTTTTTAAGACGATCAATTATCAAGTTTTTATATTTCATTATCTTTTATTGATTAGTCCGTATTGTGTGTGTTTTTATCAATTCTATCTATACTCAAGCAATATGAAGGGGAACTTCATGGGTAAATGTAACATGCAAAGAAAAAAAATGGAGCAATTGTTGAAGAATACACAAATAGTTGTATGCTTGTTCATGTAGTGTACTGCTTAAATTATAGCACGTCAATGCAATGGCTATCAATTTGAGATGATTACGAATGGGCCAGAAGCAAACTTTTCCAATCATATTCAAGCATGTCTTCCAGGTCCCGAGCACGAAGTTAACCTAACAGCAGTTTAGATTTTTCAATTCTAAACTCATAACAGTCTTCGTGATCCGTGTCGATAAAAAAGTGGTTTCATTCATTGGAGGGACAAACAACTTAATTCTTACGATTCGAGCGATTAAAAATGTATCACGTAAAACGCCAATATACACAGTAACAAAGTGTACACTGCATAGAAGGCAAACTATGGTTCATTTCTTTGTGGTTGTTACCGAAAACCCGTGAAGCACCTAAAAGCAATTTAACGTTCATTTATTTCATTTTTTCATTTTTCATTTTTTGACGCGACAAAAAACTTTAAAATTCTTACAGTTTGAGGGAGTGTATATCTATCTTGTAGACCATCAAGCACGGTAATGCAAAATAACAGGTGTGTATTTCTGTGTTTGTGCGTGGTTTAACCCATACTGCAAACCCTCAATTTTCCCTCTCTTAGAATTTTGCGGTCTTTCATATAAGTCTGAGGGTGCATATCAATGAAGTTTAAATTACCACGTTCTGAAATCATTTACAATGCTGAGCACTAATTTCTTTCTGCATAGCGAATTCAAATAGTGTCGGATTTACTCGCAAGAAAAGCTATAAGTTTTGGTGAGAGTATCAAGGACTGTAAAGATCTGCTTTCTCAAGGTGATGAAAGGTAACTTGGAAAATATTGGGTCTAACAAGCCTCTCAAAGTGCTTTCTATTTCGGTCTTGAATGCATGTCTTCCAAAGTTAAAACAGTTGGGTGTTTCTGAGGGATAGCAATCAAAACTTCTGTACTTAGTGGTCAAGATGCGTTCCACATATATTTAACTCCATTCAGTCTAACTTATTTCCTTGCTAAGTATATTCAGTACTCTCGAATCATACACTCGTCTTTTTTTTTTCTTTTTAGAACAACGACAAGTGTGGGTACAACGTGGGTGACAAATATCCTGATAACCCTGGGGACAATATCAATGAGAACAGACAAGAACCAATGGTAACGCTAAGCAAAAACAAACGCTTCCGGTGTCCCTTAAAATTAAGTTCTTGAAATTCGGCATTTTGGACTTATCAACAAGCTAGGAGAAAAGCAGTCAGTTCCACCCTTCTCACGTCTCAAAAACTCATTTGCTTTTATTTATCACTTTTGCAATGTTCACGTTATCAAGTAATTGAGACTTCCTTTCTTTCGTTACTTATGTAGCTATTTAAAAATAATACAATTTTAAAACTATCACTCTTTACTTTAAATAATCAAACGCTCAACATTTCTTCTTTTCGTCCAGGATTCACCTTTTCAACAGGGCTGATTATTTTAATCTGCTTTTGCTTTTTTAGGAATTTTACATGAGTGGGTGCTCCTCTCATGTGAAAACTGAAGTGGATATCATGTGGACAAATCAGCATGGAACAGGACCAAAGACTGACGACAGGGTAGAAACACAAGTCATTTTACAGTACATGTGCCAGCCGTTCCCGGGAGGCAAAATGCCCACTGGTAATGTGGATACCGACTACGAATATCACACCATTCGAAATGGTCAAACATCCGCGTCTAACACATTTGCTGACCAGAGTCAAGAGTCAAGTCAAATTTCAAAACAAAACGGACTTCATGAGCCGTACAATTACTATCAAGCTTATTATCGCAGATATAGAAATAAAGGTAAGATTACTGTCTATCTCTCTCTCTCTCTCTCTCTCTCTCTCTCTCTCTCTCTCTCTCTCTCTGTGTCTCTATCTATCAACCCTTGTTTCCGTATCTATGTAAGGTCTTTACCCAAAGGGAACCGTTACTGTGGCAACGATCTTACAAATCAGAAAAGTATAAAGGCATTGAACAATTAGAAAATTTGTGTTTCAAAATACCAAATCTGCGTGAAATAAATTGTATTTTAACCAGGAATCGATCTGTCTTATGAAAGAAAACGTTTTTCATCCTTCACAGGCTTATTCACCGCTGACCAACAGCTTGCTGGCGATTTATCAATTTATACGCGGCAGAATAGTCAAGGTACCGTAAGGGGCATGGAGGTCCCTGAAGAACGCGATTACTATCCATACTGGGGACCCACACCATGGAAGGATATTGCTATCCTTGTCAGCGATAAAAAGACTGAGGAGCTGATGAAGAAATACGTTAATAGGTCCAATTATGGGCTCAAATGTAAGACATTTTAACAGCGAAACTCTTTCAAAATCGTTCCCCTTCTTCTTGTACTTACTTCTGGCTCCCCTTTCAGATATGTGCATCATGTCAAAAGGACTTAAGGATCAAACTGACTGCCCCCCAGACAACCAAGGTGTTGTTGCTAAAAAATGTGTCGCCAAATACATCACCAGGCAAAAGTGTAAAGCGGCTGGAGGGAATTGGACAAGGTTCATCACAAATTACTTGGAGGAGACTGCTGGAGTGTTGAGCACTTGCCGCGGTTACGATGACATGAAACTGGCAAAAGGCGTGCCCTACGAAGCACACAAGATCTCACAAGGATGTGATAATCAGAAACAATATGTTCTTCTTAACAGACCTCCTGAAGTGATCTACGCTCCATCTACCGTCGTCAACCACAACGGAATAAACATGGAAGGCAAATTTTCTTCTTACAGATGGAAGGTCCCTTGCTTTCCATCCAACACAACACAACGTTGTGTAATACGGATAAGGTGAGAAAGACAAACATTCGGTGTACTCCCGATAACTCGAACCTTCACCGGAAATTGAAAAAAGGTTCGAGTTATCAGGCGTTAAAAACAAAGCACTGGAAAAAAGGAAAAAACGCTCTTTACTGTTTTTCTATTCATGAAGCATACATTTGAAATCAAATCGAATTATAGAGAAGGCGATTGAAATGGAACACTAAATTACTGAGAAATCATAATGTAACGTAAAAGGAGGCAAAGAAGTAGGAGAGGTGAAGTATTAAAGACGAGGTACTTCGAACTTTGCAGTTTTTAAAGCGAACGACGTCGCGGTTCCAGTCAATGAGGGTAAAATTATATAGAGAATTAATTGAAGGGACACAAAAATTGTTTAGAGCTTGTGAGAGGTTCGAGTTATCGAGGGTTCGAATTTTCAAGGGAAAAATTGCATTAATTGTATGATGGAGATCCAGGGTAAATCGATTTTGGTTCCAGTTAGCTCCAGTTTCGAGTAAGCGAGGGTTAGAATTATCGGGGTTCAAATGTAACGTTTTTTAACAGTTAAGCAGTTCGGAAGTTGCTATTCACTAGGGTATCACAGAATCCTTACCATGTCAATGAGTTTCAAATTTTAAGCTAACTAGTTACAGGACTGGATAAATTACCAAGAGCTATATTAATTTGCATAGGCATGAGGGAACCAAATTCAAGAAATGATGCATAAATTGTTACACCCTTGGGTGGATATCCAACTTAAAGACTCAGTTTTCGGTAAATTTTTAATGAAACTGACTGGGAATGGTTCGAAGTTAAATTTTAAAAGACAGTGAAGATGATCCCAAAGCCAACATTACTATTTGGACCAACTTCCTTTGCCTACAATGTATCCAAGTACAATCAAATATATATATATAGATATATATAACTTTTATTTCAGGTACAACATCACAACTTCTGATGCACCGAGGGATTTCGATGCTAATGATAATCACCGGCAAGTGTCATCATAGTTCTTCAATTACATCCATTTTTAAATTTTTTTGAAATTGGTAATCCTTGTAATATGATTGGCTCTATTGGTGTGAGTTATTCACAAATCGCACCATTGTTTGCTCTAAATCGCATCTTTTTTCCCATCCAATTGGGAAGCTTTACTAAAAAACGCAACCAATTTCCTTTTAATAGAAACCAATAAAATTTCCGGAAAATGGAAACCAACATTTGCATCTCTCTATAAACCAGCTCACAACTTGATCAACAAAGCATTTTTACAGAATAATTTTTGCGATTTTAAGCACAGTTTCTAGAAGGCCATGTAAATCAGTTATAAATGGGAAGTATTACTCGTTTGTACAATTTGTCCCTCAATTTCTTGGCTGCATAAGGAAAGAAGGATTTTATTTGAGTCTTGATAGAGAAGCAGGCCCGCGCGAATTTCAACGGAGATGAAATACCAGTGTTCAAGCGAAAATATGAATGGAACAACCCTCAATTCTCTCGAAGAGAATTGAGAGTTTTTAAGTCTTCTGTAAAAGAATTTTTAAACTCTAACCATGCAGTTTCAGAATTCCTGAAAATAATAATTACTCGCAATAAATTATACAATGAACGTAAGTATGTATAACATAAAAGAAGATGAAATTTGGAGTAAGGAATGACTGACAGGATATCTACTTCAGGACGTTCTTGTTCAAAATCATACTGCTGCTATTTTATAGATAGTTATGTTAAATTTTAGCCATCTTGGGGCAACACTTACGGCATTGTGTAACAGTGTCATTGTATCCATTCCAGATTGGCCAATAACCCGACAACAAAAGCTGTTGATAATGAAACCGACCTCCAACTAGCTTTGAATACCGCACAGGTTGGCAGAACCTTTCAAGACAGAAGTCATGTGATCATTCTTAAACCGCGAAACCTTTTGCAACCGGAACATCAGCATCGCACCATTCGCTACATCGGGGGGATGGGAAAAAGAGGGAACATTGTACAGACCTATCCTGCCATGGAATATCGTTTTTTCCCTGAACGCATCTCTGTCACAACAGAGGAAATTGTGTGTTTCGTCTGGTCTGGTATGAAGAAAAACTTTTAGTTTAATAGCAAGTTGAATTGAAACCTAGGTTCATTCTCTCCAAGAGATAATTATAGTGCAAAGTTTTTCGCATTATTTTATTCTTCTTTCATAAAAAAACTTACACAGTTTAGCCTAAAAGTAGCTTACAAGCAATTTACCTTCCCAGTTTTCGTCTGTCCTCTTTTCCTTTTTTTCTAAATTCTTCGTTGTCGACAATGATTTATAACCTTTTACTAAGGTCAATTTGGTTTCGCTTTTCTTATGTTAAGTATGCACCACAGCATTATAAGGGCCATTCAAGACTGTACCCTTACGAAAATCATGTTGTAGATACCTCAAAGACTAAACCAAAATTGCACTAATGATTATTTTTTGCTATCTGTTAGGTTCAAATAACAATCCTTCGAACTATGACGGACAAGGAACAGCAGGTAACAAAATGCTGGACATATTTATCACATTTATTCACAATAAGAGTAACGATGCTCAGAACATGTAGATACTACCGCAAAGAACTTGAAAGAAGGAGGAATCACGCACAAAGTTTACTAATACGTTCGTGGGTATTTTTTAGGTACGGATCGCACAAACGTTTGCTGGATTAAGGAAGGGTGTACAACACTGGCCCCGAAATCTTGTTTCAATCTCCCTCTTGACGTCATTGACTACGTTGAAGATTTTGACGGTTACTTGTTAAATCTTCACCTCAACTGGGGATGTTTAGCCCGTAACCAAGTGCTGGATGACGAGCTTAACAATGCCCCGTCCTCTTGCAACCCACCGTGCTTCCGCATCACAAAACCTGGAAAGTACTGTTACATGGGCACGCGCAATAACAATTTCTCCAACCGACGTCACATTGGTCAAATCACTGTGACAAGTGCTTGAACATTGCATGCTAGAGCTGAATTCAAGATCACTAATTATTGATGGTGTTAGTTTTTCAAACATTGGGCTTTTTATGGTAAAAGAGAAGGAGGAACTAGGGGCTTTGATGTTTAGTTTGCTAGGAATGGTTGTCTTTTTAATTTCCATTGAAGGTGCTGGTGTTTCAATGCATGTTGAACCTGTTAAAAATAAAAAAGGACACAGTATGGGTTATATCTGCAATCGTGGCTCATTATCTTAGTGTACAATTTTTTAAGGCGCAATTCGATTGAATTTTTCGATCATTTAGCGAATTCATGACATTGAGAAATCGAGACAATAGTTTACATTTCAAAAAGACTATAATCGCGGTTGAAAGAGGCAGACTACCTGAGGAAAAACTAGGCAATCAAGTCTCCACTGGGTTTAGCTTTGCATTTTATTGGTTAAAAGGAAAGCGTGATTTTTCTGTGTCAGCCACTGTGCTCAGTTATGCAAACTAGCGCTCTTACCAGTTACTATCGATACTCAATTAACAATTGCTCTGCCGAACAGCTATTTACTTCATTTCAAGCCAGTGTATTTTTTCCTGTGAACGAAAATAGCCTCACAAAGAGGGCTGTTCCTGAACGTCTACAACCAAGCGAGGCATTGCGCATGAACAGACCGATTAGCTGTTTCATCCTTTCCGTCGTGAATTTCCATCCATTAAGTATAAATCTACTCTGTTACAGAACATAAGTCAAATCCATGTAAGATCCTATTTAAAATTTGAAGCTACTCCAACCGCCATGGTGGATCTTGATAACGAAAACGAACTGAGTCAGGCCGGGCAGTTTTTATATTTACCAAATGAGGGCTTTTGTCAATGTGCCTAGATTAAGTTTTAAGACTTTACTATGAGGGCCTCAATGGGGTGATGGCTTTTACTGCTTGTGGTTTAATTTAATTATGGTTTAAATTTTGGCCAATTTACGGCTAACAGTTAACATCTTTCCATCATTGTCACCACAAATTTTTTTGTGTTTAATATTTTAGCGATTAACGGTTCAAATTTGTCAATTTTTACGCCAACGGTTATATTTTCTGACTGTTTTACGGCCGTCGGTTAACCCTTAACTCCCAAGATCTCAAAGTAATTCTCCTTACTGTCTACCATACAGTTCTTGTGATGTTAGTTTAGAATTTCGTATTGGATCAACTTATAATCCCCTAACTGATATTTTTTTTATTCTCATCACTTGTCTGCTTGATATTGTATTGATATTGTAAGGAGAAATTTTGTAGTGGTCAATGATGGGAGTTAGAGGGTTACCCCACTGAGACCTTCTACCATTGTCTTCAAACGCTGACAATTGAGTAAGTTATTAATCTTGTACAAGAGATCATAAACTGTTCATATTCTCATGTTTTGTGTGAAACTCCAGATTCGTTTTTTTTTTTACCCCTCGATCTCTCTCCTGTGGTGACACTCTCGAAAGCAAAGAACACACTGAAGAGATATATTTAGATTAGCTGAACTTCGTGAAAATCAAACCGTGGCAATTTATCATAGTTTTTCCTTCACAACTTGCTGGAATATCTCTCTCCCAAAGAGAGATATTTATGGTCATCTATATCGTGGCAAAGTACAAAAAGGAATCGATAAGAAAACAGCATAGGTTCAATAAATTGTCAGAGATGTTAGCTGTTGATATGGACTCAATCAGGGTGATTTTTTTCAAACTGATAACTTGAATTCAATCAAAAATTCTGTATCCTTCTTCAAGTTGTAAATTATAGCTAATTTCTTCCAAAGTGGTTTTTAGACCCAGGATATAATTTTGCATTTTGATATAGTTCTACTCTTTTCCTGATACGACAATTTACAATAAGTTTAGCATGATGAGTAATTTCCTGTTCGTTCAAGAAATTTGGCTTCCAACATGTACTTTTGACTGAGTGGGAAGGCCGGACATCACGACGGAGAGTCGCATTATATACCCGTCCGGGTATATCAACCAGTTTATCACAAGACTACTAAGCGATAGACGGGCGAACACGGGACAGCCACAAAAAAGATTATACAATTAAATTTTTTCCGTTGTTTTTTGTTTTTCGTTTTTTTCTTTGTTTGTTTGTTTGTTTTTTTTTTTTAGTCAGAGCAAGAAACACACAATTCATCGAAAAACGCGACTATTTTCTACTCTCTTCTTTTTTCCTTTAATTGTTGTCATTAGAGGGCCGAACGGCTTTTTCCGGACCGGCTCACGTCAAACTATCCAGCCCTACACACGTCAGCTTTCACAATGGTTTTCTTTGGGATTGTACGCTGTACGGGTCATATGACAGTAAGTAATCATCGGGAGAAATGTAAACACAAGGAGTGTTTTTTTTACTTGTCTTTTGGAAGACGTACTGGTTACAAACAAAACTTGATGCCACTGGTTTACAAAGAGCTTTTTGACTACGCTTCTGAAGCCGAAACTAAAAGTCAGGATATAAAGTTAAGAATTTAATACGACAAATCGGAAGAGATGCCTCAATTGTTTTTATGATCACCCGCAGCGACAGAAGTTACTAAGTTCTAAAAAAAACACTAACAAATTCATAAATCGAGATACATGTGAGTGAAGGCCTTATTACGTTGACGCTGGATTATGAATTAATAAACCAGAGTTTCCAGCAAAATAACTGGAGATGTTGCATGCTGTCTAAAGAATGCTTCAACACTTAAGAAACGCTGTTCATTTCTACATCGTATGCTACTTGTTGTTCCTCTTCGTGGTTCGGCAGAAAAGGCAAATACTTGGCCACTTTGAAGTTAGTGACGCGGTTGAGACCAAACGGCAGGTCATAGACTTTAATGGAGGCTGTCTCCATCTGTCCCTCACTTTCATCTGACAGATGCTCCCTCCATGCCTTTATACCGCGCTCCTCGTCGGTTCCAGGGATGGTGTTGTCCAGAATCAGAGCAGAAATACACCCTACTGCCATACTTGTTTTGAAGAGTACTGTAATTATTTGGTCAATTTCTGGGACACCTACTGAGTGAATGATGCAATTAATGCCATGCAATAAGAACTCTGATCACAAATGCACGAATTACGAAATTTTTACACAATGACGCTGGTATTGGCAAAATTAGGGCGTAAGCGCCGACTATGTAGGCTTACAAATTCACGCACTAGATTCCTTTCAACTTAAGAAAGGGCTCGATTCAAACAGGACACAATCTCGGCCAAAATAGTTGAAACATTACATAAAGATCTCTCCCTTTAACCACTTTCCCATCAATTTATTGGTTTAGACAGGTTTTGTCCGATTAAGAGTACCATTTAGCATGATAGCGATATTCGAAATTGATTTAACTCAAAAGATTTAATATTCTGATAAAAGATCACCTGTGCTAATCGCGTTCTCGTGATTTTTCATGTAATACGGCAGACCCAATCCAAATACAGTAGAAAATCCAACAATGAACAGATTCCTGGAGGAATTCATGTCAGCAAACTGCAGATTGGAGATTCCAACAGCGGTAATCATTCCAAACATGACCATAAATACTCCACCGACGATGGGATCTGGAATGCAGACGAACAACGCGCCAAATTTGCCGAGAACGCCAACAACCATCAGTACCAAAGCCCCAAATTGAATGACACGGAGGCTTCCAACCTGATTATACATCAAAATTATAACATCATGAAGTAATTTTTTTATACAGCTTTGTAAATCCAACGAAATAGGGCCAAGCGATTCGGGTTGAGTCTTGACAGAAATAGTCAAACATTAAAACGAAGCCCCACGCCTGTACAAAGAGTTGAATTTTCAAACCAATAAAAATTTTAGGTTCGAGAGAACTTGTCTCATTTCGCCAGTTCTCTGATGCTTCAATATATCGAACTTTTGTTGTAATCGTGGACTGGCTGTTTTACTAAAACTTTTATATCCTTTACGATTTCCTCTTCAACGCTTTCCGTTTCTCTTGAAACAATTTACCTTCGTTATCCCGATAGCCCCTACGTTTTCACTGTACGAAGTAGTACCATTCCCGGTACCAAAAGCTCCTGCTAAGAGACATCCCATTCCTTCCATTCCGATGCCACGGTTGACTGCGTGTTTTGGCGGTGGTGGTGCTCCTGCCAACCTCGCACATGCGTAGTAATCACCTACGGACTCAATAATGGAGGCCAGCACGCCAGCAAGCATTCCAAACACCCCTGCAGCACTAACAGAAGGCGTTCCCCACTGACCTAAAAAGAGGGCAACGTGAAATTGAACCTCTACCATAATATAGTCATGTCTTGAAAAAATGCCGCGAAATTGACGGAATTTAAGAAAATCTCAGCACATGTGTATCAGAAACAATCAATTCCACCTGTCAGTGTCGCTTTTAAGGTATGGACCAAAGAGTTTTATCAATGAGGACACTCACTTGTGAGGCAAATCAGACGGAGCATGAATATCATTGACGCTGAATCGTGGTCATATCCTGTACTAACCTGGGTAGGGAAATCTGAACCATTTTGCTTCTCTCAATACAACAGTTCTGGCATCGGTCCTGGCCATGTACTGAGGAACACTAGGATCAGAGGGAAAACCTCCCGAAGCGGTGATGATGGCGCAAATTATCCAAGATACAGCAATCGCGAGGATCACCTGTTAAAACCGGCGGGCAGTTATCGCAGTAATATTGTGCGTTACAAAACAAAGAGAGCAGCGGTAAATCACAAAGAAATTTTAAACGCCGAAGGTGACGTATTTCAAATTTCGCCATCTATCAATGCAGATACACTCAAATGATTTAAATCAGCCTGCATAGCCAGCGCCCGTTTATCGAGATAAAAAGCGAACGACTCCTTTGTAGGAAATGAGTTTTTGCTTCCCACATTAGCTCCACAAGTCAATGTTTCAGTGTTCGCTATTTGTACTTACGAGGTGTCTTATATTCCCTGAAATTTAAAGGTCATGTTCTATTGTTCCCTAAACCTTAGCCCGAATGGCACTCAGCAGTCCTCGGTACATAACACTCACCGGAA